TCTGCCCCCCCACTGGTTCAAGCGATTCTCCTGCCTCAGCCTCTCAAGTAGCTGGGATTACAGGCACCTGTCACCATGCCCAACTAATTTTTGTATTTTTGGTAGAGACAGGATTTGACCATGTTGGTCAGGCTAGTTTCTTAACTCCTCCCCTCAGGTGATCCACCTGCCTCGGCCTCCCAAAGTGGTGGGATTACAAGCATGAGCCCCTGTGCCCAGCCAGTAGCGTGATCTTTAATGGGTAATTTTTTTTCTTTAAATATTCTAACCATAATCTTTGATGTTACTATTGGAATTGTTTTGAAGCACCACAGTAGTGTCAATATATGACAGTGAGCTTAATACATGTTGTGTTTGTTCTGACTGTTTCACCAACTGGCATTCCCTTCATTTCTCTTCCTCTACTTGGGTCTCCACAGCAATATTTAAATTAGGTCTGTTAATATGCAATGATCTCTAAGTGTTCAAGTGAGAGGAAAAGTTGCAAGTTTCTCAGTTTAAATCAAAAGCTCGAGATGATTAAGCTTAGGGAGGAAGGCATGTTGAAAGCCAAGATAGACTGCAAGCCAGGTCTCTTGCACTAAACAGTTAGCTAACTTGTGAATGCAAAGGAAAAGTTATTGAAGGAAATTGAAATGCTTCTCTAATTGAATGATAAGAAAGTGAAACAGTCTTAGTAGTGATGTGGAAAAGGGTTGAGTGGTCTGGATAGAAGATCAACCCAGCCACAACAATGCCTTAAGCCAAAGCCTAATCCAGAGCAGAGTCCTAACTCTTTTCAGTTCTATGAAGGCTGAGAGGTAAGGAAGCTACAGAAGACAAATTTGAAACTAGCAGAGATTGGTTGTTGAGGTTTAAGGCAAGAAGTCTCCATAACATAAAAGTGTGAGGTAAGGCAGCAAGTTCTGATGGAAAAGCTACAGCACGTTCTCCAGAAGATGAAGGTGCCTGCACTAAACAAAAGATTTTCAATGGAGATAAAACAGCCTAGTAGAAGAAAATGCCATCTAGGGCTTTCATAGCTGGAAAAGTGAAGTCAGTGCATGACTTTAAAGGGCAGGCTGGCTCTCTTGTTAGGAGCTAATGTAACCGGTTCCTTGAGGTTGAAACCAATACTCATTTACCATTCCTAAATTCTAGAGCCCTTGAGAATTATGCTGAATCTACTCTGCTGTATTAACAACAAGGCCTGGATTACACCACATCTGTTTACAGCATGGTTTACTAAATATTTTAAGCCCACTGTTGAGACCTACAGTTCAGGAATAAGAAGATTCCTTTCAAAATATTATTGCTCATTAATATTGCACCTACTCAGCCAAGATCTCTCATGGAGATATACAAGGAGATTAATGATGTTTCCATGCAGACTAACACAACGATCTATTCTTCAGCCCATGTGATCCATGAGTCATTTTGACTTTCAAGCCTTATTACTTAAATACATTTTGTAAGGCGATGGCTGCCCTAGATGGTGATTCCTCTGGTGGATCTGGGCAAAAGGAAAACTTCTGGAAAAAAATCACCATTGTAGATGCCATTAAGAACATTCATGATGCAAGGAAGGAGGTCAAAATATCAACAGGAACAGAAGTTTGTAAGAGGTTGATTCTAACCCTCATAGGTAACTGTGAGGGGGTCAAGATGAATGGAGAAAAATAACTGCAGATGTGGTGGAAATAGCAAGAGAACTAGAATTAGAAGTGGAGCCTGAAGATGTGACTGAATGGCTGCAATCTCATAATCAAACTTGAATAGATGAAGAGTTGCTTCTTATGGGTGAACAGAGAAAGTGGTTTCTTGAAATAGAATCTACTGGTGAAGATGCTGTGAACATTGTTGAAATGACAACAAAAGATTTGAAATATTACTCAAACTTAGTTGAAAAACCAGTGGCAGGGTTTAAGAGGATTGACTCAATTTTGAAGTTCTACTCTGGGTAAAATGCTGTTAAACTGCATCACATGCTAGAGAGAAATCTTTTGTGAAAGGGAGAGTCAGTTGATGCAGCAAACTTCATTGTTGTAATTTAAGAAATTGCCATAGCCACCACAACCACCCTGATGAGCAGCTATCAATATCAAAGCAAGACCTCCCAGCAGCAAAAACAGTCAAAGGCTCAGATGATCATTAGCATTTTTAACAATAAAATATTTTTAAAGTATACACATTGGCTTTTTTTAAAAAGGTATAATGCTGTTACACACTTAATAGACGACAGTATAGCGTAAACATAACTTTTATACACACTGGGAAACAAAAAATTCATGTGACTTGCTTTATTGCAATATTCACCTTATTGTGGTGGTCTGGACCCTAACCCATAATATCTCCAAGGTATGCCTATACCAAACATACTTTACCCTTTGATAATAATTTAATTGTCATGAATTTTATTTAATGTGCTCAACTTTAATACACTGGTATTCCATGTTATTAAAAATGCCAGGATATTGGAATATCCATTAAAAAACTCAAGTATTAATTTTTTATTTATTTTGTGTGATCTTTTAGAGGGGAATTCTAGGCTTTTTTTTTTTAGGGACGGATATTTTTTCACCACATTCTCATTTCTTGTAACTGCCTGTGTACTTACCACTAATTCTTCATTTTTCTTTGTCTAATTTGCTCTTTTAATGTGGTGTGGATTGGGAAAGCAAATAACTGAAACCAAGTGCAGTTGTATCAACTAGTAAGTATAAATCAGCTTTGTAATGAAACAATTGTATGGTATTTTGCTATGAGTTAGTGCAAGGATGTAAAAAACATTTGCTCAGTAAACATTTGCAAGGTGCTTATTTTTTTCAAGGTAGCATAGGTATTAGATAATCTATCAGATATAAACCCTGCACTCAAAATTAGAAACTAATCTGAATGCACATGTATAGAATTGTAATATAAATACTGTTAGCAATTTGAACAGCATTATTATAGTGAACACAGATACAGGAGTATTTAACTGTGAAACATTAACAAATACTTATTTTGAATGCTTGACTGTTTTCTTCCTCCTAGCTTTTGAATAATTGATGTTGCCAAATGAGTTTCTTTTTTAATTGGGCACACAAAATTCATTTTTTATAAACATAAAAAATGCATGCCAAAATACATGCATATACAAAGCAGAAATATATATATTCCCCGTATTTGAAGTTTAAATTTGTAAATTTAAAATTTTTTTTCTATGTCAAACTTTTGCCTGAAAATAAGCTGTATTGCCATCAGGTGGCAGTCGTACCTTAGTTATGGCCACACACTACGGTTAATACCCTTACTTGTAATAGCTACAGCATGATAATTATGCTGAGAGTGAATTTAGAAAGAACTTCATTTGGGTGCATACAGGAAAGGAAAGATTTCTGATAACAAGGAGTCTTAATTTAGAAAGGAAAAGATAAGTGGTTTGGAGTACAAGATTTGGAGTTTCTCAAATCTTTGTTTGAATCACAGGTTTATCGCCTACTAGCTATGTTATCTTGGCCAAATAATTAACCTATTTGTGTCTTTGTTTCCTCACCTATTAAATGAAGATAATATCATCCTAGCGTTTTTGTTTTTTCTTCATCATTCAATTTGACATTGAGTTTTTATGTAGTTTCATTCAAAGAATGAGAATAAAGTTTTCAGTATAGAGACTATGAGGTAGAGTACTGTCAAGAAATGATCGTTATTGTGGGACTTAAAGAAGGTAGAGAGAGAAGGAAAAGCAGCTAGCGCCAGTTTCTTAGGTCCAGCTGCAACTGCAGGAATCCAGATAACTTAAAGATGTGTTTTTTTCATGCTTTATAGCCCCAAAGGAAATCATCTTAATAGCCAGACAGGCTGTTATTTTTTCTCATCTTTCCTTTAATGTTGGAGAGGAAAAAGAGAAATATTTGGACCATATTTCTCTTTTTGAAATATATGAAAGTGAAGATACAGAACGCATCCTTCTCATTGATATCTTCTTTCCCCACTTCCCTCATTGACTTGTTTGTCTGAAGACCCAGGTTTATCTGCTTAGGGAAGCAAGTTTAGTAAGTCAGAAATTCATCTGGCCAGATATCGATGATAAGTGAAATAGGTCTCTGATTTGTTGGACATTTAAAACCGAAGAATCCTAGATCTTACTTTGTTTAGAAAATAATTGTAGATGTAATATAATTTCTCCTCTCTGTACTGTCCAAATAAGACATCTTTTCCAGCTCCTAACTGTTGCCTAATTTTGTGCAGTAGCTGACAAAGCTTTCCTTTCATAATTGAAAATGAAAGGGTTAAAATACAAATACAATGGAAGAAATGTTCAGCTAGATTCAACATGTATTTACCAAGTACTTGATTCTGTAATATGCCAAGCTGCATGTTTTGGGGGGTTGCAAAGGTCATCAAAACATAACCTTTTTTTTTTTTTTTTTTTTGAGATGGAGTTTCACTCTTGTCACCCAGCCTAGAGTGCAGTGGCGCCATCTCTGCTCACTGCAACCCCTGCCTCCTGGGTTCAAGTGATTCTCCTGCCTCAGCCTCCCGAGTAGCTGGGATTACAGGCTCCTGCCACCATGCCCCACTAAGTTTTGTGTTTTTAGTAGAGGCGGGGTTTCACTGTGTTGGCCAGGCTGGTGTAGAACTCTTGACCTCAGGTAATCCATCCGCCTCAGCCTCCCAAACTGCTGGGATTACAAGTGTGAGCCACCACGCCTGGCCCACAGCTTCTATTCTAAAGAACATTACACTTCAGGAGGGGACACAATTCATGTATATAATTATTTTAAGAAACAAGGTGGTAAAGGCTATGGTGGTAATCATAATAGCTTGTATTTATATATGCTTTCCAGATTTATTTTATTTCATGCAGTACAAAAATACATTGCTTTGGCAACACTGAAGAGGGAGAAGGGAAGTTTAATTCTTAGACAGGTGATTATGGAGGGCCTAATGGAGGCTGTTTCTCTCCTGACCGTAAGATGCCAGATTGACTTTTTAAATATCTCACATTGTTAATATTCTCTTTTGGAATTTTTTAGGTACGCAGATTTTCTGAGGCATTCTTTTGTTTTGAGCATCCAAGAGAAGCTGCCATTGCATACCAGGAACTTCAGTGAGTAGTATAAATCCAAAATTAAAATGATTTTATTTCCTTTTACATAAGATACCTGTCTCAGAATTTATCAGTGACAGAATATACAGTATTAATATAAGAAATTAGGAGAATTTGAATTTCAGAAATCCCATCTTTAATCAAAGTAGGTTTCATCTTATGAGTTACTTCACAAAAGTCCCATACTTTACATATAAAGAAGCATAATGCGCTGTATTCCTCCTTCCCTTTTTATCAGGTCTACCATAATCTTGGTAGTCTCTTACAGCTTTGGCTCTAGCCTTCCATTTGGCCATATTCTGTCTGTATTTTCACAGATCAGAATTTCTTATGTTCATCCTTTTTTATTACAGATTTTCATAGATATTGTCTTCTGTAATTGTAAATGATTTACAATTAAAATATCCAGAACAAATGCCTTCTGTCTCTCCTACTGAGTAGATTTAGTCCTAGTTTCCTTTGGCATTAAAGAATATTTAGAGGACATTATGCTGAGCGAAAAAAGCTAGACATTAAAAATTGAATACTGTATGATACTACTTATATGAAGTTATAGAATAGGCAAAACTAAGATGAAAAAAAGACAGGACAGTGGTTTTCTTGGCATTGACTTGGGCTGGATTGGGAAGACATGAGGGAACCATCTGAGTAGATGGAAATGTTCTGTATCATATATCCATTTGTCAGAATCATACAGCTAAGATTTATATTTTAATGCATATAAATTATACCACAAAAAAAATCCTATAAATAATAATAGAGTATCAAGGTAGGTAGTGAGTGCTTATAAAAAGGGCACATGTTAATTGTTGAAGTTCAGAGGTATGTATGTGGGGTATTTCATACTATTTTTTGATATGTTTGAAATTTTCCATAAGACAGGGTTTTCTGTTTTAATTGTTTTGTATTAGAAAATTATACATCTTGTTTTAAATAGCTGTTAATTTTATTTGTCAATATATGTTAAGTAGAAACAGTAGAAATGAAACACGTCTTTTTCCCAGCACTAGCATCAAATAATTACTGGGCAGTTAAGCTTTTGGTATTTCTCTTATATGTGATTTGCAGCAGATTAAGAAGTTGAGACATTAAGCATGGAAACTCACTTTGAAATAAGAAAGTATAGAAGAATATAATGGAAATTACGTAAATAATTAGCAGTCTATAATTTAATAAGTCAATAATTTATTGCCAACAAACCATCATTTTCATTTTACCAGTTTTTATCGCTGACCAAGCAGCTCTTTCATAAGAAGATTATGTCTTACAGATGGGGGATAGGAATGGAGGAGGGAAGGGGAAAGGGTAGAGTCTATAAAGGAGAGTTGGGTATAATTTCTTAAAATTACAATCTGACTTAAGAAATATTTTTCAGTGCTCAGAGTCATCTACAGATGTGCACCGCTATCAAAAATACTTCCTTCTGCAGTTCTCTTCCACCCTTACCTATTGAATGTAGTGAATTAGATGGAGATCTCAATTCATTACCTATAATCTTTGAAGATAGGTATTTAGATTCAGTTACTGAAGGTAAGTGTAATCTAACTAAAATATACCAGCTATGTGTATAGTTTTCAGTATATTCTTCCTAATATACATAAAATCATTCCCTAATATGGAATAATTTTTTTCCCTCTCTGGTTTTATTTATGTTTGAGGATATTAGAAAGTTATAGTTAGAAAAAGAATCATATGAGTTTTCACACTTTGTTTTAAACCTGAATCTTTTTTTCTTTGGATAAAAGACTTAGATGCACCCTGGATGGGAATTCAGAATCTTCAGAGATCAGAGTCCAGTAAAATGGATAAATATGAGACTGAAGAAAGCTCTGTAGCAGGACTTTCTAGCCCAGAGTTGAAAGTCAGACCTGCTGGTGCCTCCAGTATTTGGTATACAGAAGGTGAAAAGCAGCTAACAAAATCTCTAAAAGGAAAGAATGAAGAATCAAATAAATCCAAGGTTAAGGTTACTAAGCTTATGAAAACAATGAAATCTGAAAACACAAAAAAATTAATAAAACAGAACTCTAAGGATTCTGTGGTTTTGGTAGGCTACAAATGTTTGAAAAGTACAGCATCAAATGATCTCACTAAATGCTTTGAAGGCAATCCTTCACATAGTCTGAAGGAAGGTCTGGATCCCACAATATGTGGATATAATTTTGACCCAAAGACCTACATGAGACAGACAAGTCAAAAGGAAGCTAGCTGTTTGCCAACTAATACAGAGAGAACTGAACAAAAGTCTCCAGATATTGAAAATATGCAACCAGACCAGTTTGATCCTTTGAACTCTGGCAACCTAAATCTTTGTGCAAATTTGTCCATTTCAGGTAAACTTGATATCTCCCAGGACGATAGTGAAATTATACAAATGGAACACAATCTGGCATCCAGAAGGTCATCAGACGATTGCCATGATCATCAAACATCCCCATCTTTGGGAGTTAGAACAATTGAAATAAAGCCCAGTAATAAAGATCCTTTCAGTGAAGAGAAAATAACTGTCAAACTAGGACCTTGGACAGAGCTTCGACAAGAAGAAATACTTGTGGATAATTTACTACCCAACTTTGAGTCCTTAGAATCGAATGGTAAATCTAAATCTATAGAAATAACATTTGAAAAGGAAGCTTTGCAGGAAGCAAAGTGTCTTTCTATTGGAGAATCATTAACTAAATTAAGAAGTAATCTACCTGCCCCTTCTACAAAAGAATATCATGTTGTAGTAAGTGGAGATACAATTAAGTTACCAGATATTAATGCCGCATATGCCTCATCTAGATTTTCAGATTCGGGTGTTGAAAGTGAACCAAGTTCTTTTGCGACACATCCAAACACTGATTTAGTCTTTGAAACTGTGCAAGGGCAAGGTCCTTACAATAGTGAAAGATTATTTCCTCAGCTTTTGATGAAACCTGATTATAATGTAAAATTTTCATTAGGAAATCATTGTACTGAGAGTACAAGTGCTATAAGTGAAATACAGTCATCTTTGACATCCATAAACTCTCTGCCTTCTGATGATGAACTGTCACCTGATGAAAATTCTAAGAAATCTGTTGTACCTGAATGCCATCTAAATGATAGCAAAACTGTATTAAGTCTAGGAACGACTGATTTGCCAAAATGTGATGATACTAAAAAGTCAAGTATCATTTTGCAACAGCAGAGTGTTGTGTTTTCAGGGAACTTGGACAATGAAACTGTAGCAATACATTCCTTAAATTCAAGCATTAAAGACCCTTTACAATTTGTTTTTTCAGATGAAGATACTTCCAGTGATGTGAAAAGTAGTTGCAGCTCCAAACCTAACTTGGATACTATGTGTAAAGGCTTCCAGAGTCCTGATAAATCTAATAACTCTACAGGGACAGCAATTACATTAAATTCAAAACTGATTTGTTTAGGCACTCCTTGTGTCATTTCAGGTTCCATTTCTACTAATACAGATGTTAGTGAAGATAGAACTGTGAAAAAAAGTAGTGATGTATTAAATTTCAAACAAATGTATTCAGAAATCCATACAGTTGAAAGTGAAACTCATCTGGGTACAAGTGATCCTTTTTCAGCCAGTACTGATATAGTAAAGCAAGGGCTTGTGGAAAATTATTTTGGTTCTCAAAGCAGTACGGATATTTCTGACACATGTGCTGTCAGCTACAGCAATGCACTTAGCCCTCAGAAGGAAACTTCTGAAAAAGAAATTAGTAATCTTCAACAGGAACAGGGTAAAGAGGATGAGGAGGAAGAGCAGGATCAACAAATGGTTCAAAATGGGTACTATGAAGAAACAGATTATTCAGCTTTGGATGGAAGAATAAATGCTCACTATACAAGCAGAGATGAACTAATGGAAGAAAGACTTACAAAATCCGAAAAAATAAACAGTGACTATCTGAGAGATGGTATAAATATGCCTACTGTCTGTACTTCTGGTTGTTTGTCCTTCCCATCTGCACCACGAGAGTCTCCTTGTAATGTTAAATATTCTTCCAAAAGTAAATTTGATGCCATTACAAAGCAGCCAAGCAGTACTTCTTACAACTTCACTTCTTCAATTTCTTGGTATGAAAGTTCACCAAAACCTCAAATACAAGCGTAAGTAATGAAACATAATAGTATCTGCTGCTAAATATATATGTGTGTTTGTGTATGTGTATATGTGTGTATGTGTATATATATGTATATATGTATAATCATAGATAGTACTAAAGGATTGAGTGTCGGCCCGGCGCGGTGGCTCAAGCCTGTAATCCCAGCACTTTGGGAGGCCGAGATGGGTGGATCACGAGGTCAGGAGATCGAGACCATCCTGGCTAACACGGTGAAACCCCGTCTCTACTAAAAAATACAAAAAGCTAGCCGGGCGAGGTGGCGGGGCCTGTAGTCCCAGCTACTCGGGAGGCTGAGGCAGGAGAATGGCATAAACCCGGGAGGCGGAGCTTGCAGTGAGCTGAGATCCGGCCACTGCACTCCAGCCTAGGCGACACAGCCAGACTCCGTCTCAAAAAAAAAAGGGATTGAGTGTCTATTTTGTTGTCTGGTTTCTGTAATACAAAAAGTGCCTATTTGGTGACTCTCCGAAATGGAGACATGAACATAATATACCCTTGGCCAGAAAGACCTATAGTTCCCAAATGATTGTGCTGTTCTGCTGTTTTATAGACTAGACATATCTGATACAGATTCTCCAGTGGTAGTTTTGTGTTAGAAGTATGGAATAATTGAGGTCAAAACCCTTTTTTCATCAGTCCCTCATTTCTTCTCCATTAACTTCCAGACAGAAGCCAAGTTTTATGAGTTTATCTAGGAAATAAGGACAATGTTAGTTAAATGAGTAACAGGGTAATGGAAACTTCTTAAACTTACCAGATGCTGATTGCCTTCAGCTAAGTCAGTGGTTTCCAAAATTGAGATTTCATGTACCAGTAAAATATCCAGAAAAATCTGGGGATGATACAGGTTTACCAGTGAGTACTGGTTCTTAAAATATTCTTCTTCCTCAGCCAGATTGAGTCATAATATTTGGGGTAAGAGGTCTGAGCATGTATGTATAGGAAGAGATTTTTAAAGTTCTCAGATTATTCTGATTTATACACAAAAATTAAGATACATAGAGTCTAAAGCTAGTGAAACCACTGAGGTTAACAATGACCAATTAAAAAATTGTAATATGCAAGGAAAATAAAGTTTGTATCACCATCTGGTTACTTCAGACCGTCTGAGTCATCAGAAAGCAATGATCTCTCATATAGACTCTATATGTTTTCGCCCAGCTTATCCTACTCAGTTTAATGTTTTTCAGGTTCCTCTTCCAGCTTCACTTTATCAGTCCAAATGATGGATGTTCAATAGTTAATAATTTTTGATGTTTGCAATCCCCAAATTGATTAGATTGTCCGTCATTGCAAACGAGTATATACCACTAATTGTATGTAGTCATATTCCCCTCTTCATTCTGCTCCTTCTTATTGGTATTTTTAGAGAAAAATACAAATAACCTAATCTGCTAAATACTGTAACTACCATTCTCACTGTTACATTTTGTAAATCACTCCTTCCCTTCCACTTATGCAAGATTAAAAAGGAGCAAAGAGGGTAAGATTTGATTACAGGATAAACATCAGATTATCACCTCTCCAGTCCCTCTCCCAGCTTTTCTGTGCATACAGTATTAAATTTTGCAGAAAGCGTAACTCCACTCGGAATGTTTTCTTAGTTGATTTCAAGTTTAAAAGAATATTTTCAAGTGATTTCAGGTTGAAAGTGTTCATTGTGTTTGATAGAATATATACTACAAATAGTAAAGAAAATTACTCTCTGGTTTCTAAATCACTTAGGTGATGCCACATACTTTCATGGTTTTAAAACCAAATATTGTTGGGTTTTCACTTCTACAATTCTCTAAATTCAGGAGACTCTTTTTGGTTCTAACAACTGAATATGATCCTTAGTAAAGAGTATCTTTTATATTTTACTTCAGCTTCCTTCAGGCAAAAGAAGAACTGAAGCAACTAAAACTTCCTGGGTTCATGTACAGTGAAGTTCCTCTGCTGGCATCCTCAGTACCTTATTTTAGCATAGAAGAAGAGGATGGTTCTGAAGATGGAGTACATCTGATTGTCTGTGTGCATGGTTTAGATGGTATGTGACATCTATTGATGTAACCCAGAGCAACTCAATATATTTTTTTCCTAGTCTCATTTAATTTCATCTAATCTTTGAACCAAAAAAAGATTTTTAATTGCTTAAATTAATTGAATCTTAAATGCATTCTGAAACAGAAATATGCTTAATTTTACTTATCTTAAGTGTAATATTAGATTCCTTCGTAAGTAAACTTTCCGTGGAAATGACACTTATGTGCCAACATTTTGTTTAATTTTGGATTTTTTTTTTCATTATACTTTAAGTTCTGGGATATACATGCAAAACATGCAGATTTGTTACATAGGTATACACATGCCATGGTGGTTTGCTGTCATCTACATTAGGTACTTCTGCTAATGCTATCCCTCCCCTAGTCCCCGACCCCGCAACAGGCCCCAGTGTGTGATGTTCCCCTCCCTGTGTCTATTTGTTCTCATTGTTCAACTCCTACTAAGAAGTGAGAACATGTGGTGTTTAGTTTTCTGTTCCTGTGTTAGTTTGCTGAGAATGATGGTTTCCAACTTCATCCATGTCCCTGCAAAGGACATGAACTCAGTGGATTTTTTTTTATCTTCTCTCTTATTGTTGGTTTTGCCGGCTGTCACCTCATGGCAGTTATTTTGTCTCCCTTTGATAGTCTTTTTGGTTCCCTTTTACCTGACTGCTTTAAACTTTATGTGCTAGAAAAATCAGTATTTCTGGAAGTTAAAATTTCATTAATTAAGATATAAATTAAATTCTAAATACAGGTACCTGGCTTTAGTGCTGGAGTTTAATGACAGCCGTTTGGTTACTCAACAGTTTTTTTCTAGATGTAGAAACTGTTAGAAGATGCCAAATTTCTCTAGACCAATGCAATATTACTGTATTATAATGAGATTCTGTAGCAACAAACTGGATTTTTATGGATTATGAAAATATTAAACAAATGTCCCTGGTACTAAATTAGCATAAAATTGTAGATTTTTCTTTAAAAAAAAAAAAAAAAAAAAACAGACTCTCAAGAAATAAAGCATTCTCAATGCTAACTTTTCTTCCCTTTCCCCAAATAATAAAGTTTTCAAAGAATTATCTTCCAAGAAAGACTTCTGGACCCAGTAGAATCTCTGGGAAATTCTTTTTAAAAAATTTTAAGAAGCAAATTATCCCTATGTTACATAAATTGTTCTAGAGCAATGGAGGAAAAGTTATAAAGGAGCCCATTTTATTCCTTAAAGTTACCCTAACCTTGTTACCAAATCCGATAAAGAGATCACACCAACACCCACCCTCAAAAAACAGTAGACCAATATAACATAAATATGCTTAATGAACTCAAATATATTTAACAAAACTCTAGCACTTGGAATTAATATACTAGAGTAAGTTACTGTAACAAATAAGGTTTATTTCCCAGAATGGAAAGATAAGTAAGTATAAAGAATTTTAGTAATAAAATACCCTACATCAGCAAATCAAGTAAGAAACTGTATACAATTTAATAACCATTCCCAATTATTAAAAGTAAGCACAAAACTTTGATCTCAGTCGGATTAGTCTGTTTCCTTAATGTGATTAAGCATATATATTTCAAGCCTATGGAAACTTATAGTTTGTGGTGAATATTAGAGGTACTCCTTTTAAAATGAAGAATAAAACAATTACCTCTGTCAGTGCATTAAATCATAAAATTCTAAAAGGTAAATATCAGGTAAAATAAAAATTCAGCAGTTGATAATGACGTGTGTATATTGCTAGTAAACCAAAGGAATCCACTACACTATTTTTGAAGATAATTATTTTTGTATTTATATATGAGAGGAATTCAGAAAAAATGTGGAAAAATAAATTTGCCAGGCATGGTGCTGGACGCCTGTAATCCCAGCTACTCGGGAGGCTGAAGCAGGAAAATCACTTGAACCCAGGAGGCAGAGGTTGTAATGAGCCAAGACTGAGCCGCTGCACTCCAGCCTGGGCAACAGAGTAAGACTCCATCTCAAACAAACAAAAAAACAAACAAACAAAAATTGTGGGAAAATGGAGTTAAAAGATAAAAATAGAAATGTAAACTTCATTTCTCAATGTAAACTCTGTTTACTTCAAGACACCTTTGTAAGCAGTTATGCCAGCCATTCTAGTACATTTCCAAGAACTGAGGGTCCTGGGAATTTAGTCATGTCAGTGCTTTCTTTTTTACATTAAAAACCAAAGAAAAATGAATCCCCTTTACAGAGTTTTTAAGATAAGAAAACAAAGTAGTCAGAGGAACCAAATCAGGACTGTAAATCAAAACTCTCACAAAATTGCCCTCTTCATGAGAGTAATGAGTAGGAATATTGTCATGATGGAGAAGGACTCTCTGGTGAAGCTTTTCCAGGCATTTTTCTGCTAAAACTTTGGCTGATTTTCTCAAAACACTCTCATGATGAGCAGATGTTATCATTCTTTGGTCCTCTGGAAAGTCAAGAAGCAAAATGCCTTGAACATTCCAAACCACTGTTGCCTTGACCTTTGCTCTTAACTGGTCCACTTTTGCTTTGACTGGACCACTTCTACCTCTTGATAACCATTGGTTTGATTGTGCTTTGTCTTCAGGATCATACTGGTAAAGCTATGTTTCACTTCCTGTTACGATTCTTTGAAGAAATGCTTTAGGATCTTGATACCATTTGTTTAATATTTCTATTGAAAGCTCTTCTCTTGTCTGCAGCTAATTTGAGCACAATGGTTTTGACACCCATTGAGTGGAAAGTTTGTTCAACTTTAATTTTTCAGTCAGAATTCTGTAGGCTGAACCAATTGAGATGTCTAAGATGTCAGCTGTTGTTTGTGCTGTTAATTGTCAGTCCTCTTTAATTAGGGCATGAACAAAATGAAGTTGTTCCTCACAAATTGATGTGGGTGGTCTACTGCTGTATGCTTTATCTTCAACATTGTTTTTTCCCTTTTTGAAACAAGTTATCCATTTGTAAACTGCTGATTTCTTTGGGGCATTTCCCAATAAACTTTTTGTAAAGCCTCAGTTATTTCACCATTCTTCCACTGAAGCTTCACCATAAGTTTGATGTTTGTTCTTGCTTCCATTTTAGCAGAATTCATGTTGTTTGATAAGGTTTCTTTTCAAACTGATTTCTTTTCTTTTTTTTTTTTGAGACGGAGTCCCACTCTGTCGGCAATGGCATGATCTGGGCTCACTGCAAGCTCCACCTCCCGGGTTCACGCCATTCTCCTGCCTCAGGCTCCTAAGTAGCTGGGACTACAGGCATCTGCCACCATGCCCGGCAAATTTTTTGTATTTTTAGTAGAGACCGGGTTTCACCCTGTTAGCCAGGTGGATCTCCATCTCCTGACCTTGTGATCCGCCCACCTTGGCCTTCTAAAGTGCTGGCACCCAGCCTCAAACTGATTTCGTGCCTCAAACTAGATTCTATTCAGACATGTTACAACAGATTAGTATGTGTTTATTTTGGTGTGAAACATTTTTGAAACCCATACGTAGATTTTTTTATGATGCGCTTTCCATGAACCTTTTGAAGAACGCTTGTGTTCTGTATCTGTATTGTAAGTATATGTGTGAATGCCTTTTGAGTTAATAATTATTAAAATAAACTTTCTTAGATGTTTAAATGGATTTTTATTTTTCTCAGTCTGTGCCAGTATTACCAAAGGAAAGTCAACAGAGTAAATCTAAAATGCATTCAGAGTTTGCTGTATGATTACCTAGAATGGTGATGGTAAGGCACCATTTATAGCTACTGTAGCCAGCAGTCACCAAAGTGATATGCTAACAGTTTGATAAATAAATACACTATTAAGTAGAAAAGTGAAAGCCACCAAAACCACCTAAAAAACAAACTGTTGGCCAGGCATGGTGGCTCACACCTGTAATCCCAGCACTTTGGGAGGCCAAGGCAGGCAGATCACAAGGTCAGGAGATCAAAACCATCCTAACTAACACGGTGAAACCCCACCTCTACTAAAAATACAAAAAATTAGCTGGGCGTGGTGGCATGCACCTGTAGTCCTAGCTACTCGGGAGGTTGAGGCAGGAGAATTGCTTGAACCTGGGAGGCAGAGGTTTCAGTGAGTCGAAATCGTGCCACTGCACTCCAGCCTGGGCAACAGAGCAAGACTCTTTGTCTCAAAAAAGAAAAAAAAACTGTTGAATTGACATTGCCTGGCTAATAGAAATCAACTTTGACATAAAAATTGAGAACTCTATTTCATAGTACATTGTCTATTCACAAATGGCATAGGCCATAAGCTTGTCTCTAAAAACTGTAAAAATATATGATGGTGGACTTTGTACCTTTTACTTTATCTCATCCTTTAAACATCATTTTTCATTTTTTAGGAAACAGTGCAGATCTTCGATTAGTAAAAACTTACATTGAACTTGGACTGCCTGGGGGAAGAATTGATTTTCTTATGTCTGAGAGAAATCAGGTACAATATGACAGTGTTTTCAGTGAAAACAAACATTTTTGTACTAGTTTCTACCTTAATTTTGACTTACTACAAAATGCCTGTAATAGTAGAAATAGTTTTTCTGATTTCTATGAAATTTAATGTAAATATATATCCAGAGGAAATATATATGATTTACATTTTGACTTATGATCTCTTCACATATGAAACACTTCTAGAATTCCACATTTCTATAGAAAAATGTAAGCATTGTAAGCATGTTATGTTTCATACTGGTAGTGAGCTAAACAACTAAATAATGTAAGTATTTTAAGAACACTGAACCTTTTTTTCCCCTAGAAATTTAGTCTCTTTGCTCATTTTAATATAACAAATATTACACTCACTAACTTCTCTAAAAAACGTTGGACTTAACCATATTTTCAGTACCTAAATTAAAAATAATGTTTATATTGTTAGTTTTTCTTGTGATTATACATATTCCCAAATACAATGTATGTGCTTTGCTTTCTTTTTAGAATGATACTTTTGCTGATTTTGATAGCATGACTGATCGTCTTTTGGATGAGATAATACAGTATATTCAGATATATAGTCTAACAGTCTCCAAAATAAGGTATCTTCTTTAATATTATTCAATTTATTTTTATATTTCTATGAATTATAGAAAAGTTAAACAGAATTTGTGGTAGGGTTGTCCTATTCTGAAATATAGGAGACTACAACTCAAATTAATTTACAGTGAAAAAAAGTAAAGATTTTAGGGAAAGATTTATATGAAATGTCCAAAAAAGCATTATCTGTAGAGAAGAAAGTGGTTAGTGTTTACTTGGAGCTGGGGAAGATGAGGGATGGTGGGGATAACTAAAGGATATAGGATTTCTTTTTGAGGTGGGAAAAAGGTTCTAAAATTGATTATAGTGAGTTACAACTCTGTGAATATGTAAAGGCTCTGTGACTTACATATATGTATATGAAGCAACAAAAACACTTTCAAAGTTTGTATACTTTTTTTTTTGAGGCAGGGTCTTGCTCAGTCACCCAGGCTAGAGAGCAGTGGCGCCATCTCGGCTCACTACAGTCTCAACCCCCTGGGCTCAGGCGATCCTCCCACCTCAGCCCCCCAAGTAGCTGGGACTATAGGCATGCGCCACCATGTCCAGCTAATTTTTGTAGAGGTGGGGGTTTCACTATGGTACCCAGGCTAGTCTCAAACTCCTGAGCTCAAATGATCCTCCCACCTTGGCTTCCCAAAGTGCTGGGATTACAGACGTGTGCCACCTTGCCCAGCCAGATTTTATGACTACTGTATACGTTTGTGAGTTAGTTTTCCACAAGCAAGACATGATGATTACGCCAATATGAGTTTCATTATTTAATTAGATCTTGTTAATAGATGTAAGAGTGAAGAGTCTTTATTTCAAAAAGGGTAGAATAAACTGACTACATTCATATCCCATCTAGGTTAGAGGAAGAAGCTGGTTCTGCATACTGTAAGCTTTTGGACAGTTTGTTTCCAACTTGAAGTATAGGGAATAAGAAGAGAGATAAGCAGTTTTTACCTGAAGTCACTTTTTAAAAAACAGAATTCTGTTAAAATATGAGAGAAGGTTCAGGTTTGTTGGTTGGAGGAAGAGATTATTTTCTTGTAATTATTCATTTGTGGATCTTAAAATCTTGTTTAGCTTTTATTCGTTTATTATTTTATGATGAGAAAAATAATATTTCAACTTACTTATTCCTCAAAAGTATTGTCTTTCAGGTTAGATTGTCAGTTATAATCAATCATTTTCCAAAAGTGTAATTGGGTTGATTGTAGACTGTTAGCTACCATCAGAATTCCCACCCCCACTACTTTAGGAAGTTCAGTTTGGGGGGGAAGTTTGTCCTGAGCTGCTCACAAGATACATCTGCAAGCTAGTGTTTAGACAGCTCTCAAGCTGTCTTCTTTCATTGCTAATTGTCCCCAGGGAATCTTATACCATCTATTGTAAAAATAACAGTAAGTAAACAGGCTCTTTTGATTTAAACCAGGAGTTCCCAAACCCTGAGCCACAGACTGGTACCTGTCCGTGGCCTCCTAGGAACCAGACCTCACCACAGGAGGTGAATGGCATTGGGTTGGGTGAGCAAGCATTACCCCCTGAGCTCCGCCTCCTGTCAGATCAGCAGTGAGCATTAGATTTGTGAACCCTATTTTAAACTGCACATGCAAGGGATCTAGGCTGTGTGTTCCTTATGAGAATCTGATGCCTGAGGTGGAATAGTTCCATCCCAAAAGCATCCCCACAACTCCCTGTTTGTGGAAAGATTGTCTTTCGTGAAACTGGTCCCTGGTGCCAAAAATGTTGGGGACCACTGAGTTAAACCATTTCATAATAAAAGTGAAGTGCTAGCTACATAAATACTATTCTTTTTGCATAAGCGAAGATTTATAGTAGGAAAATGCACATATTTTACCTATGCCTTGAAAATACTGTTAGTCATAAACCTGTCCATCTTTGAAGTATAGACTAGAGAGTAAGAGAAACAGATATATACTTTCTCCAAGTTGTCCTTTATAAATACAATTTCATCATTTTGTTTGAAATGATGAGTTAATAAGTAAATAATTTGTGTATGTACCTAAGAAGGCAAATAAGTAGTCATTATATTATTATCTTTAGTATGTATTTATATCTAAGCAGTTACAAACTTTGAATAAAAGTTTTCAGATTAATATCTTGTTTCTATAAACATTTAAATTATATAATAATGAGGATCTTCTATACATTCTCACATTTTTTTCCTTCAAAATGTGGTATATCATTTCAAAGTATCACTATACTTTTACAACATTAGAAATTTTCAAATTGTTAGTATTCACATCCATTTTATAGTGGATCAGCTTTGATTTTTGTTTCTAAAACTAATGCTGTGAGAAAAATAACTTTTTTTTCCCTCTTAAAGCTTTATTGGACATTCATTGGGCAATTTAATAATTCGTTCAGTGCTTACAAGGCCAAGGTTTAAATATTACCTCAACAAACTTCATACGTTTCTGTCTCTTTCTGGACCTCACCTTGGTACACTCTACAACAGCAGTGCTCTTGTTAATACAGGTAAAAAGTTTTATTCTGTATTAAAAATATGGAATAGAGAAAAAAATGTGAACTTAGTATTTTCTGGTATTTATTTTAGAACCAATTTGTCACACACTGGGAATTTCGTGAAACAAAAAAATGTAGCAAATTTTCTGTTTTGTTATGCACATGAAATAAGTTGATAAAAGTCATTTTGGAAAATGACTTGTCTTATATTGAGATGGCATTTGTCAAAATTCACAAGAGCATTGTTTTCTTTTTTTCCATTAAATTCTAAATATTTTTAGTAAAGTTTTATCTTATAAACAAACTATTTTGTCATTAACAGATAACAAACACCTACATTTAATACATTATAAAGTTATAACATTTTATACAGAATATTAATCCTAACTTTGGTTCAAAAACAGTAAAGAGATATTATGAGAAGTTAATATGAAAGTTAAGACCCGAATTTTGATTAGTATTTATATTCTCTTCAACAAATATTTGGAACTTGATTTGCCTTTTTTTTTTTTTTTGAGACAGTCTTACTCTGTCACCTGGCTGGAGTGCAGTGGCGCGATCTTGGCTTACTGCAACTTCTGACTCCCTGATTCAAGCGATTCTCCTACCTCAGCCTCCTGAGTAGCTGGGATTACAGGCATACGCCACCATGCCCAGCTAATTTTTGTATTTTTAGTAGAGAAGGGGATTCACCATGTTGGCCAGGATGGTCTCGATCTCCTGACCTTGTGATCCGCCCACCTCGGCCTCCCAAAGTGCTAGGATTACAGGCACGAGCCACTGCGCCCGGCCTTGATTTGCCTTTTGTTTGGCTTGGTTTTTCCCTTAGATTTTTACAAAAATGATTTATAAGTTAGTCAATGATTCCCATTGTGAAAATAAATTGTATTTAACTCTGTCTCTTTTCATTGATCCCTGAAAATCTTATTTCTGTTTCCTTTATCACTTCTTTTAATAACAAACCATACCATTTTTCCTGTATCCCATTTCAAGTTGGTGATTTAAAAAATACAGCCAGTTCTAGACTTTTACAGTTTGAAAAAGAGGAAATGAGAAAAATGAAGTCCTTAAATCATGTGTAATAGAACCCAACATGAATAGAATATAGTACTTTGAATTTCATTCTTCACTGAACTTTTTCCCAGATATGTTTCCAGCTGTCAGATTTAACCAATTAAAGGATTGTTTTCCCACTCTTCTCTTCCTGTTTCCCTGTCTAATATTAGAAGTAATGAAAATGGAAAGGAATATTTCATAGTCTTGAACACTAATTTGAGTGATTAAGATTTTGCTTAATTTTCTTAAGAGCAAGATGCATTTAAATATGGGTTACTGATAATATAAAAAAAAATTAGTATAAAACAAATGATATTCAGCTGTCTTTTGAAAACATTAAACAATTTTTCATTCTAAGACGTGGTCCCTTTGCAATTAGTCTATTATGTCATAACTCAGTTGTAATTATAGACTGATCATTCTGTGTAGGCGTTTGACCTACTACTGTATTTGAAGTTTTTCTTTATCTGCTTTATCATTTGAACGAATATATCTAAAGGTATGATTTTTCCAATTTGTTCTTCATGTGCTATTATCTGTTTTATTACTGAATGAAATAGAAATAGCAAGCTGTTCATCAGCCACCATTAATTCATAGTTAACCTAAGCATGCATGTTTATAAATGTTATCAGAACATAGAAATATTTTCCAAATGTATTTTTGATTAGCCAGCAAAAATGCTAATTTAGGCAATGTCATCTTTTGAAGTGAAATATATATTAAAATGAATAGTCTTGGCATATGTTTCTATATGTTTTATTTCATACTTCTATGTCATATATGACTCTCTAGGTCTCTGGTTTATGCAGAAATGGAAAAAATCAGGTTCGCTTTTGCAGCTGACATGTCGAGATCACTCAGACCCTCGCCAAACTTTTTTATATAAGCTTAGTAACAAAGCAGGTAAGTATATAACAGTTTGGAAAATATACATGTGAAAACTTTTTTAAAAATAAACATTTAGCAAATAAATTATCAACATGTCCTTCTAGTGATTAAAAAAAAGAAGTGTCATTCTACTGTAATTTCCTAATAATGAAATAGCAGACTCACAATTGAAACTAAGCAGTTGAGAGATTTGTTTAGTCTTTTTCACATGACTATATTTCTCTTTTGTGAGCTACACAGCTACTTTGAAATTGTCCTAAGAATTTCAACATTTGTAATTCAGTGCCAGTTTTGTTAGTCTCTTTTTAAACCATGTTTCTGCATGTCCTATCCCCACTGTTCTAGCTGTCTCCCACCCCAATCCTCACCCCTTTTTATAAACTGCCACGTTTTTCTACCTTCATATTATATTGTATTGTATTAGATTAGATTAGATTAGATTAGATTAGATTAGATTAGATTAGATTAGATTCGATGGCTAGCAAGCATTTCTGAAAGTGTCAGAAACTAAACTGTTAATGATTATCCTTTCTACAATTCTCACTACTGGATGAATCTTATTACTTATTTCATATTAACTAATTATTAATTATATTCCCCATTTTGCATATATATTCCAGGCTTTTACAACCTAAAGTTCTCAACTGCTCCTTTGCCATTTTTACTCTCTATAAATAACCTTACTTCTGACCTTATGCTGTCCCTCAATTCATCCTCATACATCTTCCCAGCATATTTTTTCCAGTGTCCTTTGAAATCCTTATTTGAGGGAAACAGACTGCCTTTATTTTCTTCAAAGAATGTTATCGCCGCTTACTTCTGAAAGTGGAGATGTAACTGAAACAGATTTTTTTTTCCCCTCCTTGCCCCCATGTCTTCACTCCCCCGGCTATAGAGTGGAGTTTGGCAAACTTTTTTTTAAAAAGGGCCAGATAGTAAATATTTTGGCTTTGTAGACCATACAATCTCTTTGCAACTACTTAACAATATCATTGTAGTATGAAAACAGCCACAGAAAATACAGAAACAAATGAGCATGACTGTGTTTCAAACAAACTTTACTAATTCAAAAACAGCAGTAGCCAAATCTCACAGGCCGTGTCTTGCTAATACCTGCTGTAGAAGCTCAGTTCCTCGTTTACTAAGTACCACCTAAAGTAAGGAAAATAGTCCTCTTGCTTTCTATTTCTAATTGCAATCAGTACTCCTCCACTGTCATATAAAACCACTTTATTTGAGGCTTGTATCATCCAAGCTGTGATACCATCCATTCTTCTTTAATATAATGACCTCCTGGTTTATCCCAGGAGAATAAAAGACATTGACAAATGTTTGTAACACGATTATGTTTGGAAAAAGATTCTCCTCTTGGATCTTAACGTACTTAGATCTGGAATCATTTTTGGTAATTTGACGAGTCAGCCCTTTAGATAATTCGTTATGCATCAGCGTGCCTTTCTCAACTCCAGTGTCCCTTCATTCCACTCCATGTTGAACTCATACCCATGGCTACACTGTACTTATGAAATTTCAGCCAACATTCCATTCTGTTACTGTGATGTCTTTTTTTTTTTTGAGACAGAGTCTTGCTCTGTCGCCCAGGCTGGAGTGCAGTGGCCGGATCTCAGCTCACTGCAAGCTCCGCCTCCCGGGTCTACACCATTCTCCTGCCTCAGCCTCCCAAGTAGCTGGGACTACAGGTGCCCGCCACCTCGTCTGGCTAGTTTTTTTTTTTGTATTTTTTTGGTAGAGACGGGGTTTCGCCGTGTTAGCCAGGCTGATCTCGATCTCCTGACCTCGTGATCTGCCCATCTCGGCCTCCCAAAGTGCTGGGATTATAGGCTTGAGCCACCGCGCCCGGCCACTGTGCTGTCTTATCCTTCTTTTTCTCTCACTCCCTTCTTCTCAGCTGCTTTTTAGACTCATTTGTGATTCCTACTACATTTTCTTAAGTCTCCCTGCCCTTTGTGCTTTTACTCCCTTCCTGACTCAAGCTTCAGACTCTATGGATTACTTTTGTCATTCATGTATTACTCTTTGTTTTTCTATCCTAGTTGTCTTGCAAATCTACATTACTGTTTTTATACTTAGCCTTTGAGCTGTTCCAAAAAAGATCACACAGACATGCAGAATCAGCAGCACTGTAGGTCCATGGGGTCCCTATCTAGTTATCTCTAGTTAGCTTCCTATCTATTCCCTTAGATACTCTCCCACATTTTCACCTTTCCTCAAACTTCAGATTTTCACTGCTCCCTTCATTGCTCACAATTAGTTTTGTTTTTCCTTTCTACTTTATCTTTGAAATTCAAGACATTTCTTTCTACCTACCAATATTAACTAACCTATGTTTTCCTTTTAGTTCAGTGGAAGATTTATAATCTGTTCAAGAATAATTACCCTCTTCATTTTGGAACTCATTCCTTCTCATCAGTATCTTTAAACTCTTCCCCTTTTCAGTAATTAATCCTTTAATAGATAAAGTTATTCCCATTTCTTCCATCTTAATAATAATAAATATTTCTCTTGATCACTTATTCTGTACTTGTCCCCCTATTTCCCCTTTTTTTGAGGGGGTTGGGGGGCACGGTTGAGCCTTTTGAAAGAGAATAGTCACTTTCATTACTTCCCCCTTTTTTTCACTTTTTTGGTTTTTGTATGCACCACTCCACTGAAGCTTGCCAAATCCGGTGATCTCTTTTCTTTTATTTGAACATTAAGATATTTAAGACTACTGAAAACTCCTTCTTGAAATACTTTCTCCATTTTTGTGGGATCCACCTCTCCTGGTTTTTTTGCATCTTGGCTTTTTTTCTGCTTCCTATATGGGCTTCTTTTCTTTCCTTGCCCGTTTATGAAAGCTGTTCTTGTGTTTTAGCCTCTGTCTTCTGCTCTTCTCTGTACATTCTTCTTGGACACCATCATTCCATATCCATCTTTACCATTGGTAGCTCTCAAATATTAATATGTATCTCTAGCTTGTGCTATATGCTGTGCTCTAGACTTATACACCTAGAGGCCTACTTAGCATCTTCACGGAGATGTCTCATGGGTGCTTCAAATCTAATGTTTTCAGACAGTGCATCTGTTCCCTCTGATTAGTTGTCTGGATTCCACATCTACTGGAATGGCATCACCATCTGCCTAGTGAGAAACTTAGAAACTGTTCTTGACTCTGCTTTCTTATTTATACCCCATATCTACGGAATTACCAAGTTTTAAAACATTTAACCTTCTTAATGGCTGATGGATGCTTCTCCTCTTCTTCTTTGCCACTGCCTTAGTTCAGCCTTCATCACTTTTACTTAGATTATTGTTCAAACTAGTTACCCTTCCACATATATACCCCCTTCTCCCCATTCTCACTTCCTCGTTAGAGGAAATGATCATCCAGTGAAGCCATAGATTATATTGGCCATTTAATATCAAACCATATTGGTCCCATTTGAAAATCTTTCATGATGCTTTGTGGTGTCCACAGTGAAGTTTAGATTCCATGGATAAGAGCATCAAGCCCTCTATAATCTGGTCTCTGATTCTTTGTTTTCTTTTTATCCTACACATTCACACACACACACACACACACCCTTTGCTGTGGTCACGCTATTCATGGTTTTTGATTGCTTGCATTTTCTCATGCTTTTCGTATCACCCATTCCCCCTCATGTGTTTACTCATCTTTTCAGAAACAATTCTGTTTATCTTCTAAAATTAAACTCTAATGCCACCTGCTATCAAAAGCTTTTCTTGATGCACTATCTGATTTAATGCTCCTCTATTCTCAGAATACTCTCTATATACCTTTGGGGTTTTTTGAGACAGGGTCTCTCTGTCACCCAGACGGGAGTACAGTGGCACAATCATAGCTCACTGCAGCCTTGAACTCTTGGATCAAGCAGTTCTCCCACCTCAGCCTCCTAAGTAGCTGTCCCATATTTCCTTTTTGTCCCCAATCTTATGTCTCCAGGACTGATTTCATTAATGAATTTCAATCCTCATTTGCCTACTAGACATCTCAATTTACATATCAAACTAAATACATCTAAAACAGAACATACTGTCTTCTTTGGCCACTTCTCCTGTTGTCCTTTTTTTAATAGTACTGTTCTCTCAATTACTTCTTTGAGACATCTTCGGATCATCTTTGTTTGACCTCACTTCTTTGCCTCCCATGTCTCAAAATTGTTAATATTATCTCTGAACTTCCATACCATTATAAATCAACCTTTTACCATACTCATTATAGTTTATCTCATGTCAGTTATTTTTATGTCTTAACTTCCTTTCCTTAAGTAGGATCTGTCATGACAGCTCATTCCCATTTCCTACATACACATTCAGTATGTACCATAGCTCTTCTAGTATATACCGATTGATTAACAAATGAATCAATGATATTTTAATATTATTTTCAATATTCAAAAACAGTTTAAATATTATATAGTAAGATGTAAGTCTAGCCCATATAATCAGCGACTGGTAGTTCCAAGTCCAAAGTTACTTGGATTTGTGAACTTAAGCCCTGGCCATTTAAATCTACATCTTTTTTTATCCTCATTCCTATCACCCATGTCTTCCATTCTACTCTTGAAATATTTGATATTAATAGATTTAGTTATTGAAAATACCACTACTTTTGAGTCCTGCTTTAGCTTTTTCAGGATTCTGCCTTAAATGTTGTTCTTAATATGAGAAAGAGATTTGGGAATGATTATTACAGGTACTATTATTAGAATCAGTGAAAGGAAAATTCTCTTATAGATTGGGTTTTATTATTTTGTTTGTAATGATACAAAGCATCTATGGTAAGTTTCTTACAATATACAGAAATATATACTTGATTGATCAAATTACAGGATATTCCTACAAAATGAAACATGGCATATACTTCTCATGCGAGAAAAACAACATTAGCTAGAACCATTGTGTGGAGCTATGGAGTTCATACCCTTTGCTGACAGGTTAGGAAATGTGTGAAAGGCAGAGCTGAACATAAGTGTTCCTGAGGTCTATGTCTT